GACAGTTGTTAGCTGCCATGTGGGTGCTGGGATTCGAACCTGGGTCCTCTACAAGAACAGTACCTGCTTTTAATTGCTGAGCCATCTCTCCAGCCCTGATAAATTGATTTTAAATTGCTTTTATTGAGCGGTTACTGTTGTTTTTATATGTTTCATTGATTATTTTTACCAAAACTACTATATTCATTATGAAATATATCTGCTATAAAATAGATTGCATCACCCACTCAAACACATATACAAATTTATGCCCTAGAATATATAAAAGCATTTTAGAGGAGATACATTAACTTACATTGAGGAGAAATCTCTCCTTAAAACAAAATTCACAATTCTAAATTTTCTGTTTACCTGGTCCAGTTTAGTCTGCTCTGGGCACATCCTAGCTCTAATACTCAGTTTGGTCCAGATGTCCATATGTGAAGGAGACATTTATTAGGGGCTAAAGACGAAGTATTTGTTGAGGGTAATTGAGCCCGTACTGTGCTGGTTTTTAAGAGTGATATCTCTCTGTCTCTGCTGCTTTAGTATTTGTATTCCAACTCCCTTGTCTACCTCTTTGGTACCAATTTCATTCATAAACTTCAGATTCATATATCAACTTGTGCAGTAGATGTTTCTATTTGTTCAGACTCATCTCCACCTTACCTCACTTTCAACCATCCTTCCAGCAAAGGGCACCCACAGTGTGGCATCAGTCCACAGGCATCTTCTGTTTCCTCTTTTGTTTCAACACATCTTATATTTCATTAATCTTCAAGTTCTGTCCATTACATGGTCTAATCACACTTGGAATCTGTCTAATTCTTTCCATCCCATGTTGTCCTGGCTTGGGACACCTGTTCAATATAAATTTTGACAGTAGCTTCCTAACTGGCTTCTCTGCCTCCCTCATGTGGGTTCCTTTCAAATAGCTGTGGATTATAAAAATAACACAGAAACAGATGCACAACGTTTAAGTAACTTCACTCAACGTTTAGGCTGATTACTGGCCTGGATACACATAGAGACGGTAAGCGATCTCTGCCTTCTAGCTTCCCACTCATGGGGATGAGTCTGATTCCAGCATCATTTGGGTGGTGCCACACCCTGGCATAGTACCTGCCCTCTACACTTCCATTTCCTCCTCCTCTTCTCCTCATCCTCCCCACTCCCTGGGGTTTGGAAAGGAACTTCTCTCTGACCAACAAACCTTGGAATGACTGTGCTTCAGGTTCTCACTTTTTCCACAGTCACTTTTTATTGAAATTAACTCTACTTCTAAATTCAGCATCAGTACTGAGTTTTATTTGTGTCTGAATATACCTTTCCTTGATAATTGGTACTGATGCCAAGTAAAAATAGACTTATTACCTTGTTAGTACCTCTCTAGACGGCATAAACTGCTTATTAGGGTGACCAACCTATTTTGAGCCCATTTTCCACCAATATATTTTTACCCAAGAGCCCAAATACACTTTGACGTGTCAGGGCAATATAGAAACCACAGCAAGGAATTAATGACACTATACAGTTAAAAAGTGCTTAAAAATATTTTAAGCCATGTGACAACAAAAACCACTTTTTTGTTATCCCATCCCACTGGTGGTACCTGAGGTCAATAGATATTACAAGAATGGTAGTAATTTTTAAAATTCCCTGTATAAATGTAATTATCATTAAAATTGTGATTATGTGACACTGACTCTAACGCTTTACAAAGACTGAGGCATGTACTCATGCCCACCTCATAAAACTGGCATTATGACTAATGCCCACTTTGTAGACAAGATCACTGAGGCTAGCATCTTGGCAGTGCTTTACTACTGTCCTGCTGGATGAAGGGGCCTGGAGCATATTTCTAGAATCATTCTAGCAATATATATTTATATTTGGTATTACTAGGCACCAATATCCAACATATATA